CCCCCCCACACACACACACACAACACCTCCTCTTACCCCCCTTACCTCTTCCTCCCCTCTCTGCCCTAACTTCCCCTCTGCCGGCCCCTAAGGGAGATTATCTACATCTAAAACAGAACAGTATTATCGGGGCATACTCGCAGGCCGACCTTTTCGACTCAGCTCTAGACGTGATTGCGGCCCGATGCACGCACGGTGGACTAAAAATATTGCAGTCACACACATCCAGAAAAGTCCTACTGGTGTCGTGTGAACCCACTCGACTCGATTTCAAAGGAAGAACCGTTGCGAGGGAAGTCCAGGGACCTACTGGTTCCCAGTGGAGTCCATGTCAGATTAGACACAATATTGAATTTACCTGGGCTGGTTAGACCGATGACAATACCTCAAGGCCATCGCCCTTTCAAAAAAAATAAAAAATAAAAAAAATAATAAAATTGTCTGCATTTCAACAGTTTATGGGTGTTGCAACTGAGCTAAGTAAGGGACTGCTTTTCACGAGTTTTCCAGAAAACGGAGAACTTCTTTCACAAACTGTCCGCTGACGTTTTCAGTCCACGAAAGCAAGTCGGCCCTTTTACACCATCCAGAAGCCGATGATGCATCAAGCCGCGTTCACCATGCAGATGCAGACGGACCGGATTCGGGTTGAACTTGTTGTGTTTCTTTTTTTTTTTTGAACTACATGAAATACGAATGTCAGCGGGCTGTACTTTTGCAAATTTGCCCTTCAAGCGAACGAGCCGTGGGTAGAATCCTTGCGAGATTTCGCTTTCGTCACTCGACTACACTCAGTCAAAAGCCTCCAAGTGGTCAGTCAGCCATGATGTCGTTGAAGTTTTTTCATTCCCAACTTAAGAGCTAGAGAGGGAGGACTAAAGACTCGTAAGGAGTGAGGAGGAAAGAGGTATTAGTATGAAGGAGCGTAGGAATGTTCGCTCTATCGTCTCCTCTAACTCGCTTTCTACTACCTCTGTCCTCGCAAAATACCGAGAAACGCAAAATACATGTCACAGCATGAGGTCATGAACATTGTCACAGTGAAGTTCCAGCGATCAGACCCTAGCTGTTTAAGACTTTAAGTAGAGTTTCATTCTTCTCATACGACGCAGCTGTCTTTGTGCATGCTTGCAGGTGATAAGCAACCGGACTGACACCCCGAGAATAGATACCGTAACGGCATGTGTGTGTGTGTGTGTGTGTGTGTGTGTGTGTGTGTGTGTGTGTGTGTGTGTGTGTGTGTGTGTGTGTGTGTGTG